GAATCTGGTGCTTGTAAATCACCCTAAAAAAAATTATATTTTAAATAAATTGTTTTTATCTAAATAAATAATATTTATAATATTTTAATAAATATTTTATTAAATTGTTTATTTTTTTTTATTTTTTTATTTTATTTTACAATTCGTAAACTCTAATATTATATAATATTTTCAAACAAAAATTTTCTTTTAATCAAATTTAATTTATCAAATGATATTTATTTACTACTTAAAAAATTAGAAAATATTTATTATAAAAAAATTTAAATATCAATAAAAATAATAATTTTTTCTAAGATTTCTTTTGTTAAATAGAATTTCAATTGATTTTATAAAATAATTATATAATAGCATAAATTTTAATATAAATATATTTTCTTTTAAATAAATTTTCTTCTTTGAAAAATAATATTAAAAATATTTTTAATATTTAAAAAAAAGGATTCAACAAACATACTTTAAACATTATTCTTTTTTATATAAAATATGTATGATATAATGAAATTAAAATATTTTTTTATTTTTATTTAGGTATTATTTAATTATGAAAAAATAAAATCGAAAAATAAATTTTTTTTTCTAATTAGTTTTCTCTAATTTCTTGAATAGACAATTAATCACTATTTTGGATAGAAAGAAATTGATTATAAGCATCTTAAATCATTTATTCAGATCATATCAAATATATAGCAATTATTTTATTTTTTTATATATTACATACTCTTAATTTTTCTTTCATATATATATATATAAATATTATATAAATATATATAAATATATTATATATTTATAATTTAATTATATAAATTATATATATTATATAAATATACATTATATAAATATATATATATTAACTTATTCTGAGTCTCTATGATGTTAATCTGTTTTTATTTAATAATTATGATTTATATTTTAAAAATCATAAATAAAAATAATATCAAAAAGATAATATTCTTATAATAAATATAATTTTTTTATAAAATTTTTATTCATAATTTATTTAATCAAATTTCTCATAATAATTATTTAATTAAATTTGTTTGTAATTTCTCTTATTTAGAAACTTGTTCATACATTATATAATGCAAAAATAACATAAATAACATTGAAGTTTATTTATTTAAAATTTTTAATAAAATTTTTATCATATAAAAAATATGAATTGATAAAAGTATTCATAAAATAATAATAAAAATGGATATTCAATTCTATATAAAGATTAAAATAAATTTGTAAAAATAAAAAATTTTTGGACTGGAGAACTTCTCTTATTACAACCTATTGCCACCTATTTTATAATCAAGTTAAGTTCAATTTTTTTTTCTATGTTAATAATTTATATTAATAGTTTAAACTTTTAATTAAATTATTAATATTAGTTTATTTAGCTATATTTTATCTAGTATAAGAAAATTAAGAATAAAACACATAAAATCATATAATAAAACATAAAATACATAAAAATATATAATAAATAATAAATACAATACTCAGTTATTAAGTACTATATTTTAAATTTAAAAAAACTTAAAATAAATATAAAAAATAATATTATTTAATAAATAATTATAGTAACTATATATATATAATTATTTTAATTCAAAAATATTATAATTTTTAACAATTTTATTATAATTTTTATTTTAGAGAAAATAAATATAAAATCATATTTTTCAAAATATATTTTTCATATTATATATTATATATATTATATTATATATATATATATATATATATATATTATAAATAAAATATTCACAAAATATTTAAAAAAGTAATACTTTAAAAAGTTTCTGAAGTCTAAAACATGATATACCAACAAAACCTATAATAAAATAACAAAAAAATAATTATTACTAAATATAAAAAAAAGTTAGTAAATATAATCATTAAAAATTTTGCATTTATTTTTATTTTTTTTTTTATGTTTATATATTAGGGTAATTTAATTTAAAAAATATAATTTCATTTTATTTTTATATTTATATTAAAATTCAATTATTAAAAGACATATTTTATTGATATGAATAAGTATATAAAAATGAATTATATAACACAACAAATATAATACATCACATATATTTAATATAAGATCAAAATAATTGAAAATGAACAACTAACCATTAAATTATTGAGTCCTTTATTATTGTCCTTTTTTCAATATTTAATTTAAAAAATTTTCAATATATAATTGATTGTTTGGGATATAACAATTTAAAATGGGCAAGCATAAAATAATAAGCTTTGTTGATATTATCATATATAGATATATTTAAGTATTCCATATAATAATCCTATAATCCTAAAGTTTCTGAAGAAAATATGAGTATACATGTAACTTAAGCGTAAAATTAAAATAATTAGCATAATAAATACAGAATTTAAAAAATACAATGAAAAAAACAAAAAAATGACTTACATCATGAAGAGGATATGCAGCTATGTATGCTTTTTCCGAAATCAATCTATCTATTCCAAATGCAAAATCGTCATCCTTAGTTTCAGTAAATCTGGTTCTATCTAAAATAAATTGTACAATTCTAGCACGTGTTGCAGTAGTAAAAAAATTTGGTGAATCCAAATTGAATAAATATTCTTTATCACGGCTATAAACAGCTGTAAAATTATGTTTTAAAGTTGGAAATATTGTTTGGTTTACATAATACTTTTTCATAATTCTCTTGAATAATGAATTGACTTCTTTAATTAATGTGTTACTACGATTTTCAAAAATCATCATGCTAGGTAATTCTTTCATTGGCAATCTAAGTTTTAATATTTCAGCATACCGTCTTAATACTTCTTTAGGTGCATGAATTTTTATGAAATGTAAACCATTTGGTTCTACTTGTTCATATTCTAATTGTAAACCTTCCTTTTCTAAATTTTTTTCAAATATCTAAAAATTAAAAATGAAAAATTAAAACAAAACAAAAATTATATCTCTAATTATATTATATATTTATATAAACTATATATAATTTACACGTCTATATTCAATACAACGGTACGTTTGAGCTTCTACATTGTATTCATCCCAAACAAGTACAAAATCAATTGTACGAATTTCATCACGAAAATATAAACTAAAAATTGTTCCACATTTTGAAGCCTGTGAAAAAAAGATTAATGTTTCATGTTAATTATTATTTATATTTTATATTAAAATATGTAAAATAATTATAAATTTACCGATCTTGAACTTCTTTTACTGTTTCTTAAATCTGTACAACTACCATCAATGATTGTTTCATTGGTATCATTATTAAAAGTTAATGTATCGTCATTATGTGTTTGTTGAATATCTTCCATAGAAATTGCACTATGCATACTATTTAAAGTATTCATGCTTCCAATATTATTTAATGAGATATTAGGAACACTTTGATATAATGTTTGTACAGATCCTGCATTTAAATTACTTTGTATTGATCGATAAAGACTTGCTTCAGATATATTATTTCTATGTCTTTGTATCCATGGTATAGAAACTTCTTCATCTTCCTCTTCCATATTTAATTGAATTGATCAATATTCAAATTCTACTTATTTGAATCAAATAACATATACTACATGCAAGCCAAATAAAAAAAATTTATATAAAAAAAAATACTATAATATATAATTATAGAAGCATTTTAACTAATAATAAATTGAATTTATATTGAATTTAACTTATATTTTACAAAATAAATGAATATTAAGACATAAATAAAATAATGAACAATAATAATACGAGCAATATTAAGATTTATTAAGTTTATATTATTTATATAATATTTTTAGAGAAAAAATAATAAATGACAAATAAATTTTTAAATTTTAAAAGTTATATTTTAGAAAAGTATAAATATTTTCATGTAAAAATTAAAATATATAGTATATTATAATGTATAAAAACTTATAAATATAAAAACTTAGAAATAAATAATAAATTCTAAAAATAAATATTATGAATTATTTTTAGTATTTATTTCAATTTTGAAAAAAATGCATTTTTCCATTCAAAAAATATAAATAAATTTTAATACAATATAAAATGTTCGTATTATATTGTGTTAATGTAAAGCTAGCTACAACATTAAATTTTCTACGAAAGAAATAACAATTAAAATTTATCCTTACAAAATTTTTATAATGTTTCCATTGGGAACCTTTAATTCCGGATGCTGTTCAGATATGAAGCAGGAAATTGTCACATAATTGTGTGAATTGTGTGAATTCCATTATACAGTACTTTTAACCTTTGCTTTACTATTTATATTTTTTTATAAATAATTAATTTAAATGATTAATTTATGTGTATTTTTATAAATGTGACGTATTTTAATGTGTTAATTTTATTGTATAAAAAAATACGAAAAAAAAAACATGTAATGAGATAAATATATAATATACATTCATGTATAAATGCATATGCATCTCGTGAATCATATTAACATGTAAGCGATACAACAATGTATTAAATGATTACATGATAATAAATTGATGCCAATTATTTTGTAATTTAATTTATATAAATTTTAAATTAAATAAATAAATTTTTTTCCTATAATAAAATATAAATTTAAATTGATTTATATTTATATTTATATTATTTATATTTTTTTATATTATTATATTTATATTTATATTTATATTTATTTATATAAAGTTACATTTATTTAATGTTTTTGCTATATATTTTGTTGAATAATAATTTTAAATATTATTAAAATTATTATAAAAGAAAAAAATAAAAAATTTTGTTTTAATTTATAAAATTTTATAAAATTTAAATTAATTTAAATTTATAAATTTATAATTTTTTATTTTCTTAAATGATAATAATACAAAATTATTTTTTATAGTTTCTATACTAAATGTAAATTATATTTTCTATACTCTAAATGAAAATTATATAAAGATTCTTTTTATTTGATATATTATCTATTATTTCAAATTAAAATTCATCAAGATATTTAAAATTAAAATTCATATACATCTTTTAATAATACATAAATATGTAATATTTTATATTATTTACATATTATATAAAATTTGTTTTTTTGTTTTTTATTATACATAAATCTTTTACAATACAGATCATACTTCTTGCATAACTAAAGAATTGAGTTCATCTTCTCCTGGACATAATACAGAATCTATATTATAGAATGCTGCATGTAAAGTTATTAAAAACCATGATACACCTAAAATAAAATTTTTATATATATAATATATAACATTATATACATATACAACATTGTATATCATATCAAAATGAAAGTAGAATTATTTTATTTACCAAGAACCCAAAATAGAGCTGCACCAGCACCAACCAAATAAAAAATTGGTAATGAACAAATTCCTACTAAAGTATAAACTTGAGCTAATGTTAATTTATGATTGAATATCATAAGTTCCTGTTTAGCATGACGCTGTGAAACTTTGTAACAAGTGCCAAGAGATGCAACAACAGCGAATAGCAACAATGGTGATGTAATTCTAATGTTAAAATATGTAATTTTGAGATTATTATATTTTAAAGTATACTTATTCTAAAAAGAATAAATTTTGAATGTAATAAATCTTACAAGCAATATATAACTAATCCAACAAATACAAATAAATAATTGCTTTGGAAATATTCAATATTTCTAACAATTCTTTTACTCAATCTTGGTAAACTAGGAGCAGGTCTTATATTGCTTGTATTAAGAAACAAAGACCATGATCTAATATTTGCTTTTCTGTGTTCAATCCATTCATGAGCTTGAGGATATCCTATGTTATTGAGTGGGAGTTGTGGTATCTGTAAGAATTCAAACCTATAAAACAAAATATACATATTATAAATATTATTAATATTTCATTAAAAATAATTAAACATTAAAAAATATTTTTTAAATATTAATAATAAAGAAAAATTTACATAATAAATTTTAAAAATAAATATAATTTGAGAATACGGTTACTTTAATTAACTAACAAATATATTAATAAGATGTCAATGTCATTAACATTGTAAAATTTTCTTATAGGTTAGATAATAAATATTTGACATTTTATTTTTCATCATCATCCATGTATCATATCATATTTGAAGATTACCCAGTGCTAGATTTTTGTTTTTGTTGTGGTATTTGCATATCACCTACGATGTCAATTTCTACGTTTGCCATTATCTTTTAGTACTTGAACTTCTTAATTTTAAATGTATGATAAAAAAATAACTATCCTTTCTGTTTTATTCTATGAATCTCGTATCTCCACCGCAAGGCGTCGTAGCATCGTTTTAGAAAAAACCCATCGTAAGCACTAAAATTCCCATCATATCGCACATCGAACTACTATGTTACCCCTACCACTGATCCGACTATACCAACACAACCAATGTCGTGTATACAAATGCTACAGGTTGCAGCTGCTCGATAAAAATTCTTTCACTGCTCCGTAAGGCTCTTTGTCTGAATAAGGTAAAAGACGCAAAAGATTTTTCTTTCCTTACGTGAGTTACAAATGTTTTCACTTAACAGATATAAAAAAAACTTTTTTTTTTATTTATCTTAAATCACAGTATGTTCACTGCATGTTAATTCTCATTGAATTTTGCTTTTAAATTGAACAATTTCACTTTTTTTTCAGGAAATCAGATTATATATATTGTGTCTAGATTTCCTGAAACTTATAATTTAAAAAAGAAACAGAATATTATAAATAAATTATTTTTTTTGCAATTAATAAATAATATGATAATCATTAATAATATATTTTTTTTAAAATAAATTTTAAATAATTTATTTGATCTATTTATGATATTTTGTTTAAATTCATAGTTATGAAATTTATATTCAAATTGATTTTGTTTTATAAATTTTTGAATTGAAATTTATACGTTATGATTATATATTAATAATATAATTTGTCAATATATGATTATTTCTATAGAAGATTGTTTAATTTACTAAATGAAATTATCAACGCAAAAATAGAAGTTGTTTTCATCTATTATTCAACAAGAAATTATATTTTTTAAATATTCTTCGATTTTAGGTGAAACTTCCAAAATAAAATGTGACATAAAGTTTTTAGAATTAGATCGAGAATGGTTTCACCCTCGAAAATGTGTGCAGATGACGCTACTATGTATTAACATTGTGAATAATTACAACCAATAGCAAAACGCGTTATATCAAATTCAATAGCTTCTCGTTCTCGAAGAAGCTTCCAATTGGTTAGCTGTAATTTCCCAAGTAACATTGGGCCACCCGCCATAACGAACATAGCGTGGTACGAGCGATTATTTGAATGAATGTCTTCAAATGTAATTGATAAAATATTGTAATTAGTATTTATTTTATTTCAGTATTATTAGTGTATACGAGGTGATTATATACAAGGAAACGTATGGTGACAATTTGAAAACATGGAAGTTGCACAAAAGTTGCATTTCGACGCATGCGATATTCAGGACGAGGAGCTAAACATTAGCTGTCGTACGAATAGCTCCGGTTGTGATGTTGACGATATTTTAGATTCTTCAGCAGAAGATCTTGGATGTTCACCCCCACTTCAACCAAGAAAATTATCATTTAGTAATACAATGGACTGTAGTGACAGTGAAAATAATCAATCTGTGCCAATTAATAACAATAAGACGCCGATCAGTAACATGACAGGTTAGTACAATTTTCAATTTTATTTTTTTTGCGAGTTGTTTTTATATAAGATTTTGACTGTAAGATCACGAGATCTTGACTTTATTCTTCATTATTTTATATATATTTTTATGTAGTTATATCAAAAATTAATTTTATTTGTATTTTCTTTTTATTAGTATTTTTAGATATTTTTTATATAAATTTCTAACTATTGTATTAATTTTCATTCTATAATGATTTTTTCATTATCGTAATTCTATATAATTATTTTATTGATATATATTTACTTTTGTATTTATAAAAATTTATTTTATAATTAAGCATGTTTTTTTCTTTTCAATTTTTTATATTATTTTAAGCAATGTGCATGGTGTGGGAAAATTGATATTTTTCATGGACAATTGTTTTACATCATGCTTGCATGTATATAATATATATAAATATAAAAAAAGAAATCGAGAAGTAATCAGTAAATATAATTATACTATGTACTGTTATTATTTTAGATTTTCTTTAATTGTATATATGTATGTTATATAAAAATTTGAAAAAAAAGAATGTATATATACAAACTGATAAAATGTTGACAAGTTGATAAAAATTATTATAAGTTGTTTTCTTTAAAACTATTGCAGATATTGTCATAATTCCTTTTTTAAAATTAAAAGTTTAATTAGTAAGTAAAGCAATAAAAAATTGAATTGAAAAAATTTTAAGAAATTTAGAAAGAAAAAATGCTTAGTCTCAAAGAAGAAATGATGCTTTCCCTTTTTTTTAAATAAAATATATTACTATTTTATATTGTATATTATTATTTTTCATTATTTAAATAACTGCTATTAAACTTAATGATATTTATTTAATATATTTTTTTTATATTTAAAAAATTACAATAAAGAATATTCTATATAAAAAAATATGACGAAAAGAATTCATATTATTGAAAATATATGATATAAATTTTTTCTTCAATATATTTTTAGATAATGTAGAATATTTTGCATTATTAACTCTTTAATCATATAAAAAAATCAAAAAAAAAAATATTTCAAACAAATATTATTAGATTCAATGATAGTTATTTAAATAACAAAAAAGTCATTTTGTTTAAAGAAATAGAAATAACATCTTTTCCAAGACTTGTCCTTAAAATTATTTTATTGTAAATGATAATTTTTGTATATTTAAATGATTAATTTTTGTATATTTATTAATTTATAAAAAAAATACATTGTAATAGATTGAAAAATTTTCCTTCATTTAAATAAAAAATGAATGCAAAGACATATATTTATAAAATAGCAGTAAAAAAAAACTTTTATTTTTTATTTTTAAAATTATATAATTACATAATTTTTCTATATAATCATCACTTATAACAATACATTTTCACCAATGCTGGTTTTTATAATTCATTTATAAAAAAGTCAATTTTTTTCTCCAAACTGTATCTATTATATAATCTAGATTTATCTAATAATTTTAATTATTTTTGAAATTAAATACTAGAAGAGCAAACATTTTAATTATAATGAAAAGATTTCAGAAATGAAAAAATAGTTTCAAGATTTTTTCATGAATAATTTTCAAGATTACAAAAATTAATACAACATTAGAGAAAATATATTACAATAAATGATGATTATGTGAATAAATAAATGTATAATTTTAAAAATAAAGAATAATGGTTTTTTTTATTATCTTGTTTTATAAAGATATTTTTATTCATTTTTTATTTGTGAAGGCAAAATTTTTCAACCTATTTTTATATTATGTCAATATCTATGATAGTTTGTTTATAGTTATGACTATTGTTAGTTATGCTTTAGGAATTATTATAATATCTAAATGAAACATATTTTTGTATATATGCAATGTAATGTCTTACAATGAATGCTATAACAAACAATTTTTTTCATTATATCAAAATATTTACAAATACTAACAAACATATTACGAACTATATTATGAACACAAAAAATGTAAAATTTAAATATAAAATATTAAATTTATAGCATGCATATTTATATATTGCATATTATATATTTATTATATATTTATGCATATTATATATATATTTTTTTTTTGTTATTAAATTTATTTTTTAATGTGATATCTTTGTTTATTTTTAGAGACTAAAAGAAATTAATATACAAAAATCTTGATTGAGGCTTATTTATTAAATTATAAATATATGATATATGCAATAAAAAGATGGAGAGAGATAATATAATAGAAAATAAACTGTGTCATTCTATCTCTATTTTGCGTCATCTAACGCAAATAATGCTTTATATACTTATAATTTAATAAATTATCCTCAGTTGATATTTTTGTATGTCAATTTTTATATTTGTTTTGGTCTTTAAAATTAATTCATTAAAACGATCCTGTGAATATTTTAATATCCTATATATTTATATACAGAAGTCCCAGAAATTAACCGACAAGACTTAACTGATGATTTCTAAAGTGATGATTTTAATCAACATTTTTTTTTTTTTTTTCTAAAAATTTTTGTTACGATTATATTATTACGAATTATTAACGATATAGCTAATCGTAGAACGTAAATATCGCTTTGCGATTATAATGTTAGTATGTATTACCGATGAATTGTCGGACTTGAACAAATAATCAAATGTTATTGCAGAAATTTCTTCTTTTCTATTGCCATTTTCACATCACGTGACTTCTATTTCGATTTGTTTATGACAGCATTTCGTGAAATATCTATGAAATATTTCATAAATCCTGAAATTTTAACAGAATATATTATTTTTCTAGAGTAGATAGATATAAATAATAAATAAAATAAATAAATAAATCTAAGTGCTTAATAGCATAATTCTCGCGCAAAATAAGCAGTGTCTAATTTTATTTATGAAATATGTTTAAGTTATCGTAGCATTTAAAATTATTCCATATTCATTTTTATAATTTTTCACGAAATATTTATTTTTCGTAGAAAACGCGGAAACGTAGTTCGGTATACTAAATGCTATAGTATGATCATAAGTGTTGATTATACTAATTTTTCAATTTGCTCAATATAACAATATCCTGGCGATATATATCTATGCTCTACTGTTATGGCGCAACAGTTTTACGCGCCATGTGATTGGCCAATGTTTTTGACTATAGTTATAAAAGATATCGATCACCGATCAATATAAAATTTGAAAGAATAATAAAGAAGAAGGAATGGACTTTAAATCTAAAATTTTAGTTTCGAATATTTATTAGTTTATAGATATTAATGAAAAATATTATACATTGAAAACTGCATAAAAGATGTTATTAATATATTAATTGCTGCCTATTCAAATGTTATTAATATTCAAATGTTATAAGTCTCCGCTTTAGTCGTCAAATGTCAAGTAGTTTATGACTATGTAAGTAAATATATCGATCTATCTAATATCTATAGAATGTTTTATAATCCATTGAAAATCTAATCATTCGTTTTCAAGAAATTAAACACATTTGATTTAAATATCAAATACGATGTCAAAAAATTAATTTGTAAAACATTTTAGCAAATATAATAATTGCTATTGAGTACATTTCTAAAAGAAGCAATTCTGTATTGAGTTAATTTTAGAATTTAAAAACGACTTTCGATCAGAATGCCGCTAAAATTTTCTTAGAAGCAATTAAAGGTTTTA